GCCCAAAATAGTTAACTAAATATCACCCTGTACGTTATATTAATATTTCAAGATATTAAAATACTTCACAATAATATATTATTTATTTGAGTGCCGTGGGTGGCCCGACTTCCAAATAACTGGCCTAGCAAGTATTTCAGTGATAAAGGCCTCGGTGTTCATTTTTCGGGGCAAAAAAAACTAAACTAGTTTGTTCACTGCACTATTCGCCGCGACTGCCGCTCGACTCCGTGGCTTGCGCGGTAGTGATTCATGCCTTTGTTTCATCACCCGCCGTGCCGCCAGTCACCCGCGCGGGTCGCTCGGTAGATTTCGCCGGTCGCCGCTGCGCGTGGCTTGTAGTACATTTCTAGGCGTTTGTTTCAGTCGCTGGACACTTCACCGTTCGCACCCCGCGAATATTCGCTGTGGCGAATTTCCTGTGGCCAGGCCGTATCTCTTTGGTGTAGACAGATAAATCTGAACTCTGCTCATTTGGAATCTTGAAACATTTTTGCATTTGTCACATAACCAACACACATTATCAGTTTTTTTGCAGGTACTTTTTTAAATCGTCTTTTACTGAGAAATTTTAGCTAGGGGTTGTTACGCTTTATTAGCCTGACGCCGAATGTCATAGGCATTTCCACGCGTAGCAGCTCTCGGTTTAATCTAGAATTTGTTCCACTTCGAGTCGCGATAGTGCATTAGACGGTATGTAGGGTTCCACACAACATACATACAAACTTAATTATTAAGAATATCCATCAACACGCAAACCTATGAAGTAATAAAATCTGGCAACATCCCACAGTCTTTGAAAACAAACATTCAATAAAAACGTATTATGTAGTAAAATATTTCAGAGCTTTCATGTTTTCGGTCATTTTCGGTACCATTTCTTTCATCTACTGCCAAAAGCTAGGGTCTGAAATCATTTTTTCATCAATCGGTTATGAATCTACGTAAAGCTAACAAAAGATCATATACAAATGCTTCAAGAGGCCTTATATCATTTTAGGAACTGGTAAATGCTTCTTAAGGATGATACATCCCCCACCTTTAAGGTTGCGAAGATGGTTACAAAAGTGTGGATCTTCACAAAATGATACTTGATGCAAGTTTCCCCTAGCACTGTTGAAAGGAGAAGTCGCTGCTAATTTGATGAAAACATATGCAGTAGAGGTAAACTAAAGCTAAATTTATGTGTGATGATATATCTAAAGTAATTTATATTCTTATTTTAGCTTCATATGATACAGATCGTGAGATTATAGCTGTAAATCCTCATTTCATCACAATATGATTGCTCTCTGGATGAAGATAATAATAATAATGATAATAATAATAATGTTTATTGGAGTATTAATACATAATCAAAATACGAGCAAATAATATAACACAAAAAAGATAATACTCCAAAGGGCTGGCGATTGGCATAGCCATTTTTCACCCCCGCCTGAATAGCTAAGGTAAATTCATTAAGTGCATTACTATATCTTACTAGGGTATATCATATACATTACATAAAGGATACGTAGTTGACTATAATAATGCTAACAAAAATTTAAAATATAAGATTAATAATGAAATTTATTCAGCCACTTGTAGATTCATTAAATTGTAACTGTAATAGCATTCTTTTGAATTCTCTTTTGAAGCTGTGAATGAACGTTAATTTAGAGAAAATTGGGCAATCATTTAGTATACTGGGAGCTATGTAATAGAAACATTTTTTAAATTTTGAGGTAGTGTGGGCTGGTATATTATAACAATATTCATTACGGAGGAATAGTTAATGGAGTGAAGATCTTTTCTCTAATGTGTCAAAAAGATATTTCGGAGATTTATAGTTTAAAACCCTAAATAGTAGAACAACATACAGAAGTAACGAGCGATATTTGAACTTTAAAAGATTTTCCCTTACATAATACCCAGTAATGTGTTCGCGTCTGTTTATCTCATTGAAACAAAACCTCATACAATGGTTTTGTAAAACTTGAATTTTCTGTTGCATTTCCTCAAAGATAATACAATGATCTAAATGTGTGAGGATTAATGCATTAACAAGTTTTAGTTTGATATCACTTGTTAATATATACTTATATCTCCATAGCGATTTGTATTTATAATAACATATTCTCAGCTTATTTATAATGTGACTTTCAAAACTTAAATTCTTATCAAGTACTATTCCCAAATTTTTTGTTTCTTCAACAAATTCAATGTTAATTCCTTTTAAAAATATGTTCGTATTTATTACTTGTTTACACTTCATTAAGTTCTAATATTAAAGAATTTACATCGGTTGGTTGACATGGTTTGTAAACTTGTACATCATCCGCATACAAATGTACATTCCAGTCAGATGATATATGTTTTATCAGATCTGAGGTATAAAAAGTAAATAAAATAGGGCCTAAAACGCTGCCTTGTGGAACACCAGACTTCAAAGCTCGTAAAGTAGACACTTTACCACGCAATTTTACACATTGAGATCTATCAAACAAGTAATTACTAAACCACAGCATGGCATTTCCGGTCAAACCATAATGGTGCAGTTTTTCACACAAAACTCTGTGATTTACCATGTCAAATGCCTTGCTGAAGTCTAGCATGACTAGTAGAGTTATCATGCCATCGTCAATAAATTTCACTATATCACCCTAATGTTGATGTGATAGCCAAGGAGTGTGCTTGCTGTAAAAGGAAAACATAAGAAAATGACCATATTACAAAAATGAACATTTAAAGCACAAAAAAATGAGGAGTTCAGAGCTACTGAAAGAAATGTGAATAGCATCAGAGAGTATTGCATTCCAGAATGTAGTTGTAAGGGCTACTTGTGTAGAATTTACCTGGTGATTAACAGCAGAACCTTTTGAAGATTTTAGTGCGTTACAAAACATAGAAGTAGTGATTTTCAGCAGTGTGTGTGTGGAAGCAACTGATTATTATACAGAGTGTAAACGTTATGGTAGTCATTATTGAAATGGGTAATAGGGGGGGTCAAAACAAGTCAAAAAGTTCATATGACCGATGGTTCAAAAGTCAATAGATTTTTGTCTAAATGGCTTTATAGTTTACAACTTTAAGTGCTTTACATCGACCACAATTGCCGCAATCTTACTAATTTTTAAAATCTAATCTAAAACATTTTTAAATTGGGTAATTAAATAAATGGCAGTAAGTTTTTAGTTAAACCAAAATTTGTAGTCAGTAAGAAAGTAAGTTTCATTAAATTGAGTATTTGAAACACACTTAACAGTCGCTTTTCTCTAAAAAAATGCCGTTTTGACCTCCATGTTATATGAAACTTATTGCTTCTTTTAACCCCCTCTATCACCCATTTAAATAATAACGTTTACACCCTGTATATTACACATGTATGTGAACGTTGCTCAGATAATTTTATCGTGAATAGAAAGATAGTGTGCTGAAAAAATGCAAAAAGGGTTACCATAGTCAGTGCGTGTCAGTGAAGGATGATGCCCTAAAAATGTTGTCTACATCTAACAATTTTGCTTGGTTTTGCGATATGTATGTGTAAAAACGCAGAATGTGGAGCGAAATGTGTTGCTGATGATAGTGATCAAGGTGAGAAAAACACGCAAAAAGATGGATGTTTAAAATGAAGAGAAATTGAATGTCTGCAACGCGAAGAATCTATTCTCGAGAAATTAGTAACGGAACTAGAGAATGCATCACAATTGCATAGATTTAAAATTGAAGTCTATGAGAAAGAGCTGAATGCGACAAGTAATGGAATGTTGCAAAGAAATGGTTCCCGCGAATCGTACAACCAAGTGTTGAAAAAGCCATTGTATACCAATAATGACTCATCGGTGTTGCTAGTAAAATCCTCTGAGAAAAATTCTGAAGATATTTTCAAAAGAATGGCTCAGGTGGTGAATCCTGCCAACTTGTAAGGCTGCATAAATAATACAAGGAAAATAAGAATGGAGTTGCCTTCATCTGCAACAAAAAATCTAACCTGGACAAATTCAAAGACGTCTTAAAATCACACTTAGGAGATGAATACGTTGTCGATGAAGCAAAAAAACGCAAACCACGCATTCGTGTGAAGAATGTTGAATTAACGGAGGAGCTAAACAGTGATGATCATATAATGGCTAGCCTGTTATCCTTAAACAACTTGGATAACTTCATTTCTTCAGATGTAAAAATCATTACTAAACTGAAAATGCGGAATGGCTGTGACCTCATCTTAGAGGTTTCTCCTGGAGTACGGAAAATCGTAATGATGCAAGAATATTTATTGGGTGGAAAAGATGTTCAGTTAGCGATCACCTTCAAATTGTGCAGTGCTATAAGTGTTCAGTATTTGGTCATAGTGATAAGCAGTGCAGATCTGCGTCTGCAAAGTGCCGTTCTTGCTCTGAAAGTCATTGTTTAAAAGAATGTAAGTCCTGTAGCTGTATCAGTTATAATAAGTGGAAGAAGGAAACATTGCAGTGGACCATTCAGCAAGGGATGTAGCTTGGCCCCATGTATCAAAGATATATTTATAAATTAAAAAATATGATAGATTATGTTAAGGTACACTCAATAAAATTTGGTCATGACAATATCCGTTCGCTTGTATCTTCATTTACTGTCTTATTGATACTTATAAAAGAAAAACATTTTGATGTACTTGCCCTCACTGAAACCTGGCTCACTCAGATGGTTCCTTCGGAAACCTCTATCCCACGAGCGATGCGCCAGCGAATGTTTCCGAATTTGAAGTCGAGATCCGAGGAGTGCGTACGTCTCGATGGCTCACTTCTCAATGATGCGATTTTTAAGAAATAAAATTCCCGTATGTCTTTTAAAAATATAAATTATCTTCCCTACGCTTTGAAGCCTTTTCTGATTTTTTAAAATCCGCTCAACCCTGTATTTTTAGAACATCAATAAATTGTTTTTTCTGAGAAAATATTATTCCGATTACTGTATTGAGATACCCAGGAGTCAAGACAGGGTGAAATAACAGTGTCAAAGACTTTAGCACAACTTTATTATTTATCAGCAGCATAATGCTTGATAAACCTAGCTGATGGATCTGTGACGCCTTCTACCCATCTCGGCATCCAAAAATGGGGCAGGAAATTTTCGGCCACGTCAGGAAACGTCTTTTCAAATACTTCTCTGTAATATAACGATTCTTTGGTTTTTGGCGTGCAGTGAGGGTACTTCTTAGATACCGTTTCTTGATCAAACGGTTCTGGCTTCCGTTTCTCTACGATTTCTTGGAGGATGTTGAAAAGGGACTTTTTCTTTGATGCCACACCATCGCTGTAAAATTGTAATAAAATCAAAAAAATATCGAAAGTCTTTATATTTCAGAGTGCAATGTTTCTTTTGCGTTTTACAAGATTCATCAAGCAAACAATGGATTCAAATCAAGTAGAAGGAAGTTTGATGAACAATCGTTCAAAATTTAAATGACAGTGGTGCTACTTCATTAATACCATAAAGGTATATGAAAGGAGATTTGTTCCATAAACCTGATGTATACAGTGTGTTTGTTACAGAACGTTAGCTAGATAATTGAAGAGTAGATTAAGCACGACAACGTATGAAAAATATTTTTTATTTTTAGAACAAATGTTATCAAAAGCCATATCAACGTGCACACAAATTATTTTTAATGCACTTACATCAATGCTATTCATACCGGCAATTTCAGCGAAAAAATATTATGTCACTGGAAACAAATAAAAATCAATGTCTTGAAGCAGATATGTTCTACTTAAACAGCCTTTTGGAGTTTTTCGTTCTGATGCACCGTTGTTGAAATACAAATTATTTTATAAATCAATGTTTATCGTTACTCAAAAACAGTAATCGATCTGACACGACGAACATATCGAAAAACTCCAAAAGACTATTTTTCAAGCAATTATGTTTGCAAAAAAAGAATGGCGTACAATGTTTTGCTAAGCATCTTTGGATAGAAACGGGTAATTACGTGCTGAAACACCCTTAAATTATCCTTATAACATTCTGTAACACCCTGTATTATAATAGACAGTAACTACGCTACTTCATATGCTTCACATTTCTTTTTTATATTTACCTGAAGGCTTCTTTATGTCTCCAAAGAATTTCATCGGGGAGAAGATCTGTTCCCTCGAAAGCAGACCTCAAAAGATACTTTTCGACCGTATCCTTTGGTTGTTTCAACTCTGGTTCAATGTTCAAATAGTAGTTTGTGAATTGTAGATCAAGGAAAGGGACTCGAAGTTCTAAGCTGCAGAAACACATGACAAGTTAGCTAAGCTGGTAGTAAATGAGTAGTTTCATCTCAATGCATGTCGACACATAATTTATAGTAGTAGTAGTATTTTACTCAGCCAAAATACAAACACATGGTTCAAATGGCAAGTCACAAAAAAGAATGAACATGAAAAAAAAAACAAAAATGTGTCATCCGAAGATACATTAATAAAATATGCAACAATGAATTTAAATTTAAAACTGAAGGTGATAACACATTAAAATAATTGACAAAATTAAAAAATATGTAAAGAACAATATTCAAAAAGATTAATTTTAACGGTATTAACATCTATAATCTAAAAATTCGTCAATAGAATAAAAACATTTATCAGTTAGATGATTGAAAACCATTTTTTTTAAAACTACAGTAGATATCAATATCCCTTAAATCTATAAATTAGGATTTACACCGGATAGAAACATTTGCTAATGGCATTTAGCATAACCCTCATAAAAGACTATGTACAGAAATTAGTTTTTAGTTTTTATTGTACCTTTTTGCGGCGGTAGTCCTATCTGCTCTCAAACCATCAAACATATAAATTTCTTTCAACAGTCTCAAACTATCTTCATGGGCAGCATCAGCATTTGGAGCATCTCTAAAAAGAATCAAATACAAGAAAAACGTAAAACATTTGTTTTTTGGAAATAATATATATCCGGCTATTTCGGACTACAACCTTAGAACTACTTTAAGCGTGTCCAATCGAAACTAGTATTTCAGCCTGAACCGAAACAGAAATTTCGATCCAATTTTAGTTTCTTCTTCTTTAGCTTCGAACTGAGGATGATATGGAAGGTTAAGAGGTAAGTTACGAGGGTTGTCTCAAAAAAAGGTTATCAACGCTGTATCTTTGCCGCGCGTGATGCTAGGCAAAATGTGGCAACACCGTCGTGTTTGTCGGCTCCTCCGCCACCGATCCCAACAAGAAGCGCCTATTCGCGGTGCGCAGTACTGGCCCGACTACGATCCGCAATGGAGCCCTTCATCGTCATCACCGCCATTTGCGCGGTCAACCGATTTTTGCACGCAATTAGGTTACAACCCATAGAAATGAATCGCCACTTGAGTGAAGTATATGGGAAACGTGTATAAGCATTCAACATGTCCTCAAATGATGAAGAGAGTGCTGTAACAGCCGCACGGACATCCACGATGAACAACGAAGCAGGAGGCCGTCGATCTCCAATGAAGTTGTGGCGAAGATTAAAGAAATTTTGCTCGAAGATCGGCGAATCACGATCCGGGAACAGGCGGTTGAAATTCCTAAGGCTTCCGAAAAAGCTGAGACGGGCAATCGAAAAGCGTCGTAGGGGAAAACTCGCCAAAGCGTGAGACTGCACCACAACAATGCGCATCCTCATGTCTCACAACAAACGAAGGTCTTAATCGAGCGATTTGGCTGGGATATCATTGCCCATCGTCCTTACAGCACTAACATAGCGTTTCCGAAATAAAGGAGCAGCTAGGCGGTCAATGGTTCGAGACGGACGAGGAGTTGCAAAGAGCAGTTACCAAGTTTTAAATGGGCTGACGGCAAACCTCCTTGAGGCGGGAGTGCAAAAGTGAATTTCAGGTGTGTGCGTGTGTCTCCAAGAAAAAAGAAGCTCCGACTATTAGTAAAAATAATACCAGTTTATTATTAAAGAAAAAACTCTATAAATATGTAACAAACAGTCTTTATCAAATATTATTAAGTCTTAAATAGAGAAAACTAAAACAGTACATGTGTCTCTTAAAACACAAAATAAAGTCTTTGAGTCCAACATTTTCTAAAAAAAAACAGACTAAAACAAAAATAACAAGCTATGGACTGTTTTACACTAATACTTTTTAACGTTAGTTTAGACGGAAAGGTAGTTTAATTTGACGATTTATATTGCACAAGTACTTAAGTCCCGTTTACAATTTTGTAAACTGTTTTTAACTTAAAGTTTGGTCGGACACTACTTGGGTTTGATCTCTTGGATTTTAATAATCCCACCTTCTAAAAAACATCTCTAAAGAGATGCCATGTTGGCGAAACTAAATAGATGGCTGGTAGATGATTATAAACACATATTATGTATTTCTATTTTGATTTCGTTGAAATAGTCTGCTTTATCTACTAGCATCCCCGCACAGGTCGGAACGTTTATGCTTAGAAATAGGTTTTCTATACACAATCTTTCTTTTACTTTTAATTCAACAGTGACCACTGACTGACGTGTGATTTACTGAGCAAATGGATGAGGAAGCAGAGATTGGCGTTCTATTATGAGTGGTTTTCCAACACAAAAAAATGAGGCAGATTCACCCCATAAACTGAAAGAGAAACATTGATAGTTTCATCGCTGAAATTATCCTATTACCAGATAATACAAAGATACCAGTAGAAGGGCCACTCGCGAAACATCCTTTGGTCATCTGACTTATGGATGCCGACATTTTTCTAAAAACTTGTAAACTTTCTTTAGGTGCCTCACTTGAAGAGATCGCGCACTTTTTTAATGATTTATACAAGGGTAGTGCTGGCGTACTTTGGCGCACGTACGGAATAGGTTGTCAAAAAAGTGTTTGTAATGACATCGAGTAATTTCATTTATACAGGGAGATTGTCATTATTGTTTTTCCTTTGCTTGAAAAAAAATGCGAGATCAAAAATAGTGTTTAGCATCTACGTCACTGACTGACGATGATTCACCTGCAGTATATAATATATACTAGTCTTCTTTATCATTACGTAACCTCAGTAGCCACTGTGCCGATTTTGTCAAAACTTGGAATATACTATATGGTCACTAGTCTGAAACTGGGTGTAAGGGAGCTGATTTAGAGTAAAAAAAATGTTTTTTTTTTATTTTCCTATCTGTAGTTGTGGTGAAAAACTGAAATAATGATTAGAAAATAATGCGAAAGAAATGAATGATAATGAATGGGTGATCGCATCAAACTGGTAGGCAGCATTTGAGCCACCAGAGGTATGATCTCAGTCACCGCAGCAGACTCTGTTTTTTTGACAAAATGGCTACTACTAAGTTTTATAACTACTGTAGGATGAGTATTCTAACATTAAGCGGGAGGACATTATACTCTGCCTGCGCCGCTCGAATGTCTAGACATTTTGCCTCAATACGAATATCAAAGAAGGTTGGCGTCGAAACGCTGATAAATGCTTCGCAATGCCTTGGTGTAATGTTTCAACCAGTGTGTGATACCCTGTATGATTGCAACGTTTACACATGTACTGAAGCAATGTGAAACATTTCGCAGCGTTGCGGGACAAAATGTTTCGTTCGGTCTGCGGCCGGACTAAATAAACATTGTTTGCTCAAATCCGAAGAACGTTCACAAACCTGAAGTAAATATATCCTTGCGCAACTTCATCGGCCCCTTCGCCGCTAAATATAACTGTGGTGTCAGTGTTTTCCAAAATATACGCAGAAATCAAATACATGGCAATCGAAGCTCTGATTGTGGTTATATCGGGTGTTTCCAGGTAGTAAATCACATCGTCCAAAACCCTGGCTACATCTTCCTCTGTGAACTTTATCTCGTGATGCTCCGTGCCTATATGTTTCGCAACCAATCTTGCTGCCTTAAGGTCCGGACTATCGCCCATTCCAATAGCAAATGACTGAAAATGGGAGATTACATTTATAGACTATGTTAATGTATGCGTACTAGCTAAGTTCTACAACAATTCGTACCAAATTTTGTGAGAAATTTAGTTCCCAATTCGTTCACAAATTACAATCCTGACTGAAACGTAAATAAATTTTTGTACTAAATTTCGTTCGAAATCATGCGCATTTGGTAGACAAAAAACTATAGCTGTCCACTTCTAACTGCCATTTATCAATTCAAAGTCATTCTAACTACACTTTCCTTTGCGGTTGCTACTTTATTCCTTTTTTTTTAAACGAATACAAAATTGTAGAAAATGGAGCAATCCCGTAATTCGCATATACAAAATATTATATGCGATTGCGGCAGCAGCGATCTGCGACGTAGCTGCTCACCTCAGAAAACGAAGTAAACGAAATCGTAAAATAATTTGGTGCCGAAAATGGATCAGGGAGAGGGACCAGGGCATGTGTGTGCTCCATATGCTGAATAAAGAGCTTCTAGTGCAGGATCCACTGGCTTATAAGCCTAATTGGTTCTTAAGTCATTCTGATTTTATGCAACGCTATTTTGCTTTTCTGTTTCTTATACGCCTTGCTTTTTACAGCATATAAACAATCATATTTCTCATACTCGTTTATTAATATGTCACACTGCTCTTTTGATCATGACATCTTTTAAGTTTTCAATCTATAAGTAGAACAGCATAAGCAGGGGAGTTTCTGCGAAACCGATGAACACAACTGATAACATTAGCTAATGAAGGTGTTTGAGGTTATATCAGCCATTGTACTGCTACAAATGTCCAGTAGTCGCCTGCGCACTTTTAGTTTAATATTATTTAGAACAGTTTCTAGAAAACTTAGCACTAAGTATGCTGATACCAAATTATGTACTCAATGCTGTCTGACGCTATCCTTAATTTTGTACGAAATTTAGCACAAAATTTCGTATCGTGATAGACTGCCTTTAGACGTAAAAACATGAAAACCTTGGATCTCAGGGAGCTGAATAGACCGTTAAGATTTAAGTGAAAGGCGTTTAAAAGTGAAATCCCCCTTCCCGGACATCCTCTTACACGAATACCTCCTTTAAACAGACAGTTTCTCATGGCCCCGACCGACTCTCATATAATTTGCACTGTATTAACTCTCTCTTGGACGGACATTCTCTTGAACGGAACACGAGATGTTCCCCTAACTGGACAAAAACAATATAAAATGAAACGCCTTGTCTAATTTTTTTCTGTTGAGAATATCGCAATTGCATTTCTCAATTGTTCCCCGCGCTATCTTCGTTGGGACTTTATCGAGCAAACCGGGGATTCGCCGACTTTAATCTTTCGGTACAAACGCACCCTATGTGGAGCATTTCTGCACGGCATGTATTAGGGACTTCCTCGAGTTGGTCGAGGATTTACCGTTCTTATTCTTTGGATACATGCTTTGGATTAAGTTTCCATTCAGCATTAGTCTGTCGTCTATGCGGAAAAGACACAGTGAGCGACATCATTCATTGTAGAAATGGCTCCAAATAAGAAAATTCTGACGATTAAACAAAAAATTGTAATTGTTAAAATTCACAATAAGGAGAAGTTACGTGTAATGAACTTATCCAAGCATTTCCATATTGGAAAAACACATGCTGCAGAATTAAACATAAATAAATCCTTCTAAAGAAATGGATGCCCAACAGCAATTTGAATGAAAAAAGAAACTTTTTGACGGGTGATGATACTGAAATTGTCAAATTGTGTAATGACTGCTTTATAGCAGCTCATCATAAGGGGATTCTTTGACAGGTATGTATGCATATTATTTATTTAGATAAGGTTTTTTGCATTTTTGCGTTTATTTTCTTTATACCTATATCAATTCTAAAATAGATAAAAAGAGTATGTTTGTTGTGACAAAAACGGAAAAAGACTTTTTTTTAGGTCCGCTAATACGAGGCAAAGCAAAAGAAATAGCTGATTCTCTGGAATACTCTACATTCAGTGCTTCTTCTGGTTGGCTCAATAAATTTAGAATTCGCGACAATATACAATATATAATCTCAATAAGGTTCCAGAATCAACAAAAGCTATTCCAAATTATGGTAAAGATATTACCCGAACCAAGCAGCTCAAAAGTTGTTGAAAATCAGGGAGATACAGAGTCTTTGAAGCTTCCTTCTAAATTAGAAATACGATTTTAAGATGCCATTTCAAAGAAAAAGAGGAGACAAATACTATGAATTCGTGCGTCCTTAAAGTGACTTTTTATTTCATTGTTTTTGTGTTACTACATATATCTATGAACATACATATGTACACATATTATAAACAGGGTGTTCATTAGAAAACTTCCCACCACAGACTTATCGAAAACCACTGAGTTTTGGATGAAGCCGCTCAAGTTGAAGTTTTGGGTCATTTTGGAATAAATCCTAATACTTCGTTACGCAAAATTGTTGCTGCGACTGGTATTTCATCAGGCTCTGTACACACATTAACTAAACTCCATAAATTTCATCCATTCAAAATGGAAATATTGCAAGAGTTAACCGAAGATGATTTCGATAGGCGAGTTGAGTTTAGTGAACTAATGACTGCAGCGATTAATGATAATACCATTCATGTAAAGAATATCTGTTCAGTGATGAATGTGCGGGATATCCGCAGAAAACATCGCGGCGGACCCTGCGATGGATCTGGTCCCAGAGGGAAATGATAGCGACTCGGACGAGGACGGAATCCTGAACCGAGTCCGAGAACTCCTCCGTGGAAGCGGAGATGAAGGCGGCTGTGACAGTGAAGACTGCGGCGGCGACGACGGTACGCCCGAATAGGGGTCACATACCGTCATTCGGGAAGGTGTAGGAAGGGCCTCTCAACACCCATGGTAAGTCTTAATTTCATTCAAATTAACTTACAACACTGCATAGCGGCTTCGAGGGCCCTTACTCAGGAGATCACTCGAGGCCGACATGACGTGGCTCTCATCCAGGAACCCTGGCTGAGAAACGGTTCAGTAAACGGGCTTAGTATACCGGGCTATACGCTTTTTAGCGATACTCCGGACACTAAGCCCAGAGCTTGCGTAATGACTTCCGTCAACTCATGGCAACTTAAAGAATTTACATTCAGAGACTTAGTTGCAGTCAGAATTAGATATAAGAAGGAAGGCAGTGACAGGGACTTGGCTGTATGTTCGGCTTACCTTCCTTACGATTCAAGAGACCCTCCTCTGTCCAAGGAAATGGGGGACCTTGTCGCATTCTGTAGGGATTCTGGACTCGACCTTGTGCCCATCACGTTACGTGGGGCAGCTCGAACACCAACAGACGGGGCGAAGACCTGATGGAGTTTTTAGGGGCATCGAACCTTGAGGTTCTGAATGTCGGTAACATGCCCACTTTCAGCAATAGTGTAAGAGAAGAGGTTATCGACGTAACACTGAGCACACTTAACTTAGCTCAGGACATCTGGGACTGGAAAGTGTCTCTAACACCCTCTCTATCGGATCACAGGTACATACTGTTTAAGACTGATGGAGAGATTCCGGATAAATATGCTCGGAATCCCAGGCATACTTGATGGGGGTCCTTTAGGGCAGACATTGACAGTAAGCTTGGAGCGGTCCAATACAGGCTTTGCAGGGGCTCTGACATAGAAGCAGCTGTCGAGTCTCTGAGCAGGGACTTGACGGCTGCATATGAGGAAAACTGCCCGTTACGCAAAGTCCAAGGTAAGGGCAAGGCAACCTTCTGGACCAAAGAATTAGAGGATAGAAAACGAGCGGTGCACAAACTTCTTAGCAGAGTTAAGCACAGGAGAGGTTCTCCTCCGTGGGAAGAATACAAAAAGGCATTGCAGGAGTACAAAAAGGAGATTAGAAAGGCCTCCAGAGAATCCTGGAGGCACTTCTTTCAGTCCATAAATGACATTCCTGCTACTGCAAGAATACACAGAGTCCTATGCAAAGACATTAAAGCAAGATTGGGATCTCTGCATGATCCCTCGGGGGGGAATACTACTTCTGAGGAAGGTACTCTGAGGCTTCTGATGGATACGCACTTTCCCGGTTCCACAGTAGCGCGATCAATCACAGAGTGCATGCAGTTGCGCAGGCCCTCAAGGGAGGACTGGCGCACGGCTAGGGAGACTGTCACCTTCGAAAGGACGGTATGGGCAGTAGATTCGTTTGCTCCATACAAAAGTCCAGGTCTGGACTGCGTATTTCCGGCCATGTTACAGCAGGTACGGATTTCGGTTGTTCCTTACCTGTTGAATGTGTTTCGAGCATGTGTGGCCACGGGCTTCACACCTAGAAGCTGGAGGCAGGCTAAAGTGGTATTCATTCCTAAACCGGGCAGAGATAGATATACTAGCCCGAAGGATTTTCGACCGATTACTCTTCGATCTTTTGTGCTTAAGACACTGGAAAGGATAGTTGATAGATACTTAAGAGATGGCCCGCTGGAAAGGTGTGTCATTCATGCAAATCAGTTTGCATACCAAGCTGGAAAATCGACGGATCTGGCCTTACACAATCTGGTCGGTAGGCTGGAGAAGACTCTAGATCAGCGAGAAGTGGCACTCGTGGCCTTCTTGGACATTGAAGGTGCATTTAATTGCACCACAACCGACTCTATCAGACAGGCCTTGGTTAGACACGGGGTTGGATCAATCCTAATAGATTGGGTCCTCTCTACTCTGGAGGGTCGGGTAACAACAGCTATGCTGAATAACCTAAGCTGCAGCGTGAATGTAGCTAGAGGCTGCCCTCAGGGCGGAGTTCTGTCACCCCTACTGTGGTGTATCGTGGTGAACGAACTCCTCGTTAGGCTCAGCAGTATGGGTGTCTATGCACAAGCCTATGCTGATGACGTAAGCATAGTAGTTAGGGGGCGTTTCTGTAGAACAGTCTCGGAAATTATGCAGGGCGTTCTGCGCTCCGTGGAATCGTGGTGTAGGGAAGTCGATCTTTCTGTTAATGCTGAAAAGACCGAGCTGATCCTATTCACTAG